GGGATTTAAATCCCATTCGTCTTAAAATTGCCAAGGTTGAGAAACACCGCTCTAGCCAAATTTGAAGAAATCGCTCACCAATGGGCAGTCCCCCCCAAAACAGGGTTGAGAACGGCTATAACTGAGCATGGAGGGTTCTGCCCACTAGGGGGCGCCCTGGGCTCGAGTTTCGTTTGCTGGCCACGTTTAACTTTGCAACAAACCTGGTTTATAAGCCAGTTTTGTACTCCAGATTTTTTTTTTTCTTATGGAGAGATTTGACCCGTTTGGTTACATTTTCTGTGTGCAATGAGTGTTTCTGTGCCTACATTCTCTCCCTATCATTCTCCGCTCCTCCCACCTCTCAAATGTTTTAAATATAATATAAAGATTTGGAGTGGTTTTAAATGTCTGTATGAAGAGGGAAGCAGACGACGGTACCTGGGTGCAACCTTCGGGGAGCTGGACGGTGAAGGCCGTTCAGTGAATAGGGTGATGTAGCAAAGCGAGTTGAACCCCAGCCTTAGAACAACAATAGGGGACCAGAAAGATCAGGTGAAATGTCCACCACACACTTCATTGGGTCAACTATGGCTCCATTTGCCATTTGCAAAGCTTGGTTGGTGTTAACCTTGTCTAATCTTGGGTGTGTGTGTGTGAGTGTGTGGTTTATATGCTGTGCAAAATAGGCCTGTTAGGCTGGATTATGGTTCAAGGTTTTGTACAAGCCCAGAAAGAAATTCAGTCACCAGCTGGAGGGTGTGGTGGAAAAACAGCTTGGTCAGGGTGTCCAGCTTCCTGCACTGTGGATGGTTCCGTATCTGGGGTATGAAAATGAATCTCCTCTGGGTAATAAAACAGTCTGGCCCCTTGGCCGCGCAGGGAGCAGAGCAAGTTGAGTCTGAGGGCGGAGCTAGAGCAGATTGGGGTGGGGCCACGGACGGAACCCAACGGTGTCGCTTCACTCCAGGGATGTGGAGCCCAGAGGGGCCCGACCATCGAGTCCAGCTGCGTTTGCTCATTACCCTGAATTCTCACATCACTTTAGACATCCTAGCGGGGTGGTGGATATTTCACCAGCTCCCTGGAACCTTTCTGAAGGGCTGAACAAGAGCCTAGCGCCAACGGCCCAGCAGCTCTGGATCGCCTCAGCGGGCCAGCGCCACCTTTCTTTGCGCTCTCTCTAGTCTCTTTAGGGAAAAACCGCTGGGTGGGGGGCAGACAGCTGGGGCAGGAACCCAGTGGCCTCGGGCTCGTTCCTCTGCACGGTTCAGGGGCTTTTGCCCATAGGAAGCTAGGCCAGGGGACTGTCCCAGCTCAGCCTGTCCTCCGACACTCTGCCATGCTTTCCTGTCCGGACTAGAGTTTCCAGTGTGAGAACTACAGTAACGCTGGGGGGAAAGGTCCTCTATTTTTAGCACACTTTCTGCATTCTTGCCCGAAATAGACCTCACCCAAGCCGCTTTTCCAAATGCTTCTGGAGCTTTCCCAGCCGCTTGTAGACGCTTCCCAGTGTTGGCTGAGGGGACCGAGTCTTTGCACTTCAGGGCCACATCTGGAGGCTGCCAGGGGGCAGGAGGGAAACCTCACCGCTTCCACCCACTTTGGGTACCAATGCAGCCTGCAGCAGTGTCCTCTGCCAAGCCAAGCCATCCCACTCATTTTCCAGGCAGAAATCTTCCACAGCTCCCCGTGGTGGCTTCGTTGGTGCTGGGTTTAGCTCAGGGACAGCTCAAGGAAGATGACTGAGCTGTCCCACCCAAAGCAGAGTTCAGGAAGCTGGGAGGCACGGGCCTTCCGGGGCCATCTTGTTGAGCAGGAATGAACTTCTCGTTGAGGAAGAGCACCCCTCAGGGTCAATGCTGACCACGGGCCTCTGTCCCAAATGACACGGGAGCTGCATAGCTGAGCCTAGAGCTCGGTCAGCACTGCGACAAAGGCCGGTTGTCCTGCATCCTGGAGCCTTTGCAGTGAAGCTGGAGCCAAGCGTTTTCGGGAGCCCATCTCCCTCCCCCAGCTCTTGCCCTCAGGGAGGTTGTGGGATCTAAATGAAGAGAAGCAAGCCAGCATCATATTTTGCCACATTCGCTTGGTTTTGCAAAGAGCACCGTTAAGAGCTGCGGCCCGTGGAATCCAGGCAACTTTTCCAATACTGTAACCTCAGAAGCTTCTGCTGAGTTGCTGAGCAACAACAAAGGAAACCTTTAAAAAATTGGTTTATTTCCAGCTTCTGCATGCACCCCGCTGGGGTTGCATTTGCATCAAGCTATAGGTTTGTTTTAACTATGATTGGATGAGCATCCTGCTTCAGGACTCATACTGAGCTATAATCTTGTTTTATAAATCAGAATGTCTGGTTTGAGACTCTCATGCTTAGCAGAATTGTCAGAATTGAGATCTCATGCTTAGCAGTGGACTGTTTTATTAACTTTTTAAATGAAGAATGAATGGTTTTTCCCTCTGCTAAGCAGAGCTCTAATCTGTCAGGACTTACTTGGTAACCTTCACCAGATCCTTTCTCCAACATTGTCAAAGCCACAAGGAGCTTTTCCACGTTTTCACTGCACATCTATCAGTTAAGACATTCCTAATCCACATTAGCAGTCTAGGGAAAGTATGAAACTAGAGCTGGGCATAGTTTTGCAGGAATTCCTATGAAAAGCAAGGTTTATTCTACCTAAATTTAGAAATCAAAACAAAAACTGCTTTATTCCCAGTCAGATTATGCCTGGTTCACACAACACGCTAAAATATCATGCCATTTCTTTGATACTGGTTTAGCACGATTCACAGACTGGTCTTTATGGTTTGCCAACCATGGCTCATGGTTCTTAGTGCTTTGTGCAAATGACCATGGTTGCCTATCCAACCATTGTTCAACAAGCTGGCTTACTATGGTACATGAACTCACGATAGATGTTCAGCCAACCATGGTTGAGTGAGCCCAAGGTAAGGGGGTTACATGACTACAGGGAATTTGTCTGTGACACCCATAAAAAAGACGTGGGACTTTGTACAGCCTTGGTTACCATCCTGACCATTTTGACACCTTGTGGATGTTCCTGCAGCCCAGCCCTATTCTTAGCATTTATTGCCTCTTTGCGGTAGCCCATAAATCCTTTTTCTAGGTGTCCTTGCACAAAAACTGCCTCTCTTTATCCAGAGAGCGCCTCTTTCTTTCAACAGCTCTGCTTCAATCATCCCTTTGAGATCCCAAATCATTAGAATGGAGGGCAGGACTCTTGAAAATCTTCCCCAGGGTGAGATGTATCACACTTCTGCTTACATTACAATAATTCTTTTTAAATTTGCATCTGACTCCATCAATTGGAAGATGTCCCTTTTTGTGCAAATTCATGTCATTCTTTTCCTGTGCAAAGTAAGTAGTGTGCATAGCTAGTGGAAGGGCTCAAATAAGGTGGGGACCAGAGAAGCAAGCAGGCGTTACAAAGACTATTTCTGAAGAAGAGAGAAATTCCATTGCTCTTCGCGCAAGGCCATTGGCAGATCTCTACCCCGTATTTCTTTATCTCACCCTTTTATTGACAGAAAAAAAAAGACACTTACGTTAGCGCTTGTCCACCTGACAAACTGATTTTCGTAAGATGGTTAAGCACTCAAGCAGCATTTGTTTACCCTGAATGTGACAACAATCAGCCTGTTTGAGAGATATGAATTTAGTTTCCATTTCCTCCCCATTCGTAACAAGATGAGAAATAGGGAAGATGCCCCCAGCCAAACTGGAAAGCTAGCTTGGTTCTGAATACGGATACATCCCACCTTATTATGACTTGGTTGGGTTCCTACACAGCTTCCTGGTGGAATTCAAGCTTCTTTCCTGAAAGTAGATTACAGGTGGTCCTCCTTGAATGACCACTCATTCAGTGACCATTCGAAGTTACGACAGCGCTGAACAAGTGGTAGTTATGACTGGTCCTCAAAGTTGTAGCCGTTGCAGTGTCCCCACGGCCACGTGACTGCCATTTGCGAACTTCCCTGCCGGCTTCCCACAAAGTCAGTGGGGAAGCCAGCAGGATGTTGCAAGTCACAGACATGTGAGGTCCTCACTTAACAATGGCAACCAGGATTACCAGAACTGTCGTCACTAAGCGGTGTGGTCACATGGTTTTTCAACTTAGGACCGCATCACTTAACGATGGAGTTTCCGGTCCCAATTAGTGTCGTCAAGCAAGGACTACCTGTACTGTAAAGACAAAGTGCTAACAGCAGGCTTTGTTTTGGTCTGTTCCCTGCTTATTTATGGACCTAAGCGAACCCCAGATCAATGGCTGGCTCAGCACTGGAAGGAAAAGAATGTTTTGCAGAAAGCCACCCAGCACTTGGGTTTTGACATAATATTGTTTTTCTCCAGGCGTTTGGTAATGGAAGATAGATAGTCGCTAGATACAGATACCTGTGTTCTGCTGTCACAGGCCCAGATGCACGGAAGTTTCCTTTATTTCTGTTTAATGGCCCAGTGAGATTTGCAAGACTGGCATTTCACTAACTTGAAACTGCCCGGACACCCTTTTGACTTGCTCGACTGCCTTTTTTGCATTCATTTTGGCATTGTGTCTAGCTACCTGGAACATTTTAGGAAGTGCAAGAGAGAAGTATACACACACACAATATACACGCAATTTAATTCTTAACAACCGCCCCCTGCTCCATTCCAAACAC